AGGGCAATGAATGTACAAATGTGCTTTACACAATAGATGTATGTATGGATTGTGATAAGAGTTGTATGAGCACCTAATAAAATGATGGGGGAAAAACATAGCTTTGGGGGAAAAAATTCCATGTTTGTTTTTTTGGGGGGTACCCCCTCGTATGTGCTTGCCTAGCTTCCAAGGCAGGTTCATGTGACACAGTAGTCCCTTACTGCCAGAAAATCTGAGGACTGAGGCTACCAGCAATCAAAACTTGGAAAACGACCAAAACAACCCATTGCCATGGGGGGGAGGAGGGAGAAAGGAAAGGTAAAGACCAGATTGAGTGGACATCATTAGGCAGAGGAATACCAAACCATAGGGGGAGAGGGGGGTTGAAGAGGAGAGAAGGGACAGATGACTTCTCTGGACTCCAGGACTGTACCCTCCGAGAGGTGCTGCGCCATAACCACTACCCAGCCTAGCCTGGTTAATCATTTCCTTCCTCCTTCTCGGCTCGCCCTGCCCAAAGGGTTGCCACTTCATTCTCCTCCCTCCTAGGCCAGCTGCTCCTTTGCAGGTTTTGCAAGGAGCCTCAATTTTGAGGTATTGTTTGTAATACTTCACCCCACCCCACCCCACCCCTCCCTCAAGGCTGTGCCCCTGAGATCTTTAGGTGTTTAAAAGACCCCTTGAAGCTTGACCTCAGCCTCCCTCCCCGCCCCCCCTTCCACCCCCAACCACATTCTAAAAAGAGGTCAGACCTCAGAGAGGTCAGGTCAGAGTATTGCAAGGCCCAAGTGAGGTATTCTCGGTAAAGTGCTGGGCTGATTGCTAGTGGGTGTTTAACAAGTGTTAGAGCCCTTCGGCTTGGTATCTCTCGGGGAGTAGTGTGCACTTCCTGCTCAGCAAACCAGGCTAGGTTTATCTCACTTAAGCAATGGATGAGGAGTAACAGTCCGAAGAGCCTGGAATGTTGCAGATTGTGCCAGAGGCAGGATTTGGGCTCAGCCACTCATCACCCAGAGGGCTACGAAAGCCACGTGTCGGAACTAGCCCTGGGCTTGCTCGTACCGGCCGCAGAGAGGCGAGCATTAAGTTAGTCTGCCGGGCCGCTCAGGGCCAGGTTCCTAACCTCTCTGAACTTGTTTCTTCTCGTGTGAAAAGCGGGAGAAAGTGCTGGTCTTCCCGAGTGGTGTTGCTTTGCTACTCACTTTTCTCCCTCTGGCCACACTTTCCACTACAAAGCCTCGGTGTCCTCAGACCACCATTCACCATACAGGTTGTCTTTTTGGCATGGGAGCGCTCTCCTGGCTGCGGCAAACGCCGCGTACCATAACGGCGTGCCCGGGCTCCGCGCCCCACCCTCCCGGGGCCGTGCGAAGCCGCAAACGCCGGCGGCCGCGGAGCTGGGAAACTCACTAGAGACAGCAGCCCGAAAGTGGGCCGCCAGCCAGCTCACGCGTGGACCGACTCTGTGTGGGAGGAGCCGAGGGCGGGGCCGAGCGTCGGGGCGGGGCCATCCCGGGAAGGCGGAGGGCCCCAACCTAAGGGTGGCGGCAGAACCCGGACGTAGGATTTCCACGCTCTCCGGAGCGGGGCGTCGGAAAACGGCGGGCAGGAAAACCCGGCGCCCGGAAATCCTTGCTTTCTTTGACGCAAGGGCTCGGGACGCAGCCGCCGTCGGCGGAGCGCACGGTGAGGAGAGACCCCAGACGGAGCCTTCGGAGTCCCTCCGCCCCCACCTTGCCTCGTCCGGAGCCTCGGCCCTCCCTGCCGCCCTCCTCGTGGCCATGGAGTGTCCGCACCTCAGTTCTAGCGTCTGCATCGCGCCGGACTCGGCCAAGTTCCCCAACGGCTCCCCGTCGTCCTGGTGCTGCAGCGGTGAGTGAGGCTCCGGGCCGGCGCGGCCGCGCACCCGAGGC